CGGGTTTCAACTGTCATCGGAAAAGGGTCATACGAGTTGGAAAATCAAGACGGAGAAAAGATACCAAGCAACTGGAACGTGGCACACCTCAAAAGATATTATTGCTGATGAGCATCGCCTACACTGAAAGTATGTGCTGCACTCTTTTTCCCTTCGTCTAGTTTTTGTCCCAATTGGGTTTTTTTGGCAAGGTTTTTAACGAGGCAGTAACAGAAAGCATACTACGAAGAAAGCTTCAGCAATAAGACCTTTAAATGACAAGGCACACAAGCAAGGAACCACTACGGAGCAGTTAGATAGCCTTTTACTCGAAAGCAAAGTTCCTACCGGGAAGTTGAGTTTGCTATCGAACAGATATTACCTGACCGTTCACAAGTGCAAGACACTGGGGGATTGTTAGATAATCTTTGGATCGATAGCATAAATTCCTAAGGGGAAGCAAAGTTTTTTACCAAACTGAAGATTATCTAGCAATTCACTAGTGGAATCCTCGAAGGTATAAAACTTACAGTGTTCAAATTTGCATTCGAACATTGGGAGGGAATGATATGAGGATACGAAAACAATGACTGCCACTTCGACCGGAGAAACCCGAAAACATAATTGTGTCATCAGGACTAGGGACTAGGGACTGCTCGACCAGCCGCGTAGAAACAAGTTGTACAAGTTAGCCAAAAGAAATGACAATTTCTTTTTAGCACAATGAATGCTTATGTACTTTTGAAAATGGAAGGAATAAAGTAAATTCCTTTTATTTCTACCTTGTTTCTTGTCTATATGATGAATTAATTTTATTATTTGAAAGTTAAACAAGTACTTCAAATGTTAGTGTCGTAATGAACAGAAAACGTCCTCTTCAAGAACACCGTAAACATAAGAGGGCCCTCTTTTATGAAAACCCTCACGTTAAAGGGTTGATTTCGAAAGAACTTATACCCAGAATCCAAATGCTTTAGGGGGAAAATACATCCAAAGCCTTGCATGATTAGACAAAAACAGTAAAACTTGCGCAAATACTTAAATGAAAAGTGTGCAGAGACTTGCACAAATACTCAAATAATTCACAGCAAAAGTTGCACAGATACAAAAATATGGAAAAGAAAAGAAAACTTAAGCTACTGCATCTCCGGGACCCGGAGGAAGAGAAACGTATGCGCCCCTAGGAGAAGTGGATGGATCCGCCGCCGGCTCATCATTTTGGCCTTCAACATCATCACCTTCCGCTTCTTCTTCAGTTCCCGATAACTCAGAACCGGAACCAGAAGAATCGGTAGCATCAGGCCAGGCCGGAAGACCTCTTTTTGCAACTAACTCCAACTAACGAGCCTTAGCGATTTCGGCATCAAAGTCAATGACACCCGCTTTGGCCTCTTCCAAGAATTTTCTCCTCATGTTATATATAGCATATATTTTTTCAACAATGAGGGAAGTCGCTCGGCGTTGAAGTTCTTCTTTAAGTTGGCTGACCTCAGCAGAAAGTTTATCCCGCGTGAATATGGTGGATCAGAGGCTGACATCAAGCTCGTGGACAGTAAAGCTACAAATTCTATTATGCTCAACGGTCCTCTTATGCTTCTCCTCCAATTGGGCATATTTCACCCTGACAACAATAAGGTCTTCAGTTAGGGGTGGGCATAAAATCCAAAAAATCAAAAAATCGGACCGGACCGAACCGAACCGAATTAGTTCGGTATTTCGGTATCGGTTCTTTGATTTTTCAGTACTAATTCGGTATTATTTTTTCAATAGTTCGGTACTTCGGTACGGTTCTCGTATCGAAATTTCAATACTTCGGTAAACCAAAATAGCGAAGTACCGAACTTTTGAAAAAAGATAGAGTTGATCTTTAAGCAAATAAAGGTTTTTGTTGTTTCCGAAACCTTATAAAAAGATTATTTATTACTCTAAAAATGCAAACATTTTTGTTAGAGATATATAACCAGGTCTGGATCATCTTTTGATGAAGTTTTCTTCAATTTTATGACAGTGCACTTGTTTTTTATCCCATGGTCGGAGAACTTCCTTTTTGTCTTAAGATGCTATATATTGGAATGATGGTGGTAGTATATATATATACTATGTAATACCTCTGGACCACACTAAAACTATAGATTGTCCAAAATTAAATAAATCCATGCTTGCAGACATCACATTTTTGGACTATTATCCCAACATTTGTGGAACATAGTGATGTAGCCCAATTTTTTGTGCTTCAAATTGTAATTCTTCTCTGAATTAGTGTAGTGTGATTGATGTCTTATTGCCGTTTCTTCTTTATCTCTAGTTCTTTCATTAGAAAATACATTAGAAAAACTGATCTTACCTCTGGAAATACAGAACAAAACACATTAGAAAAACTGATCTTATATTCTTATGTGAAATCTTGAATTAGAATTCTCCATTTTTTCATTTACAAAGACTTGGTACGATACCGAAACCGTACCGAATCAAATAAGAAAATACTGAACCGTACCGAACTATTTTGATACGGTATTTGATATGCACGATTGATAAACCGTATGCCGAAATACCGTATCGAAATTCTTAAATACCGTACCGAAGTACCGAACGCCCACCCCTATCTTCAGCTTTGGAATTTAAGGCCGCCTCCAAATTATTTAATCTTTCAGCAGAGGCAGCCTCACGATCGGATGCAACAAGAACGACATTATGGACTTCGACCCATTTGGCCTTAGTTTCTTCAAATTGATCCCTCAACGAGGCGATCTCTTGGCTAAGGGTCACCACTTCTTGCTCGCTATGCTGCAATCGAGCCTCCAACTCAACAACCGCAATAGCTCGAGCATCCAGTTATGAGAGGTGAGCAACAATTTGGTCCCTCCCGGCCAAAAGCTAATCCCACTCGGAGGTAAGTTCCTCTTTATCACGAATCAACCTTTGAAGGCCCTCAGAAGCAAGGAAGTTGGCCTGCAAAACAAGAGTGCAAAGTCAAAATCTTACCATAACACAGATAAAAGAAACAACAGAGAAAGCAAAGACTATACCGTTGCTGCATTATGTATGTCATTGTTCAACAAGCACTCCCTCGAGAGAGCTTGTATCTTTTTCCTATCTTTTTCTGAAGCCAAAGGCTTCAGATAATTTGCAAGTTCCACCGGTCGGGACAACAGATGGCATCAGGTAGAAACCGAGAGAGTAACGCTCCCCCTCCTTTGAGGATCTTCCAAGTGGGCATCATAATTTTACCCCAGGTTCCCATGAACTGGGGAAGAGGGACGTCATCCTCTCGAGAAACTGTGGCCGGTGGAGATGATGTACTAGTTTCTAGTGGCAAAAATAGAGTTGGTGAAGAAGGAGATGAAGATGATGGCGTTGAAGGATGAGAAGTGGTTGCGGCAAGCACAGTGCTGGTTGCTGGTTGCTCTTCAACCAAATACGGCAGGAACCCAGTACTCAACCTCACAGTGACAAGCACGACGATTGGGATTCAGAAGCGGGAGTTGGCATTTTCAACCATATCATACTCCCCCCAGAGTTCCGAGGCATCATCCTCAGTTGGTGTAACTAACTCAACAAATTGAGCATTCTGTTGAGTTGAGGAATGTCGTCTTCTTCTATGTAAAGAAGCTCCCTCCTCGTTGGTTTCTCCTTCATCGTCGATTACCACGGTGTCTATGCCGGTTCGGGCGGGGGACTCATCGCCACAACTTCCGGAGATGACTCGGGTGCGGCACTTTTTGCCTTTTTATTTTTTCCCAAACGCGGAGGAACGCCTTCTTTTTTGTTGCTTGTTCTCCGGTCGGGGACTTCCAGAAAAAGCACTTGCACCAAAAGCAGGCTCAGAGATACCTGCTCGTATAAAAGCCTCCGGCAGCAGCCTTGTCGCGTCAACAAGATTAGCCAAAACGTCCTCCTTGGGGACGACAACTGAGCCCTCGGGTAGGAATTCATCAAGAAAGAAAGGCTAATCGACTTACTTATGTGAAAAGCAAGGATAAGATAAGTTCAATTTATCACGATTTTTGGCCTTCCACCCGTATTTGAGGGATAGTTCTTTCCACGTGCGGGTCTCGGGCATGGTAACGTCCAAGATTTTCTGGACCCACTGGTCCAAGCCTTCAACCCTAGGTGGTATCCACCGAGTTGCTGAAACGAGCGAAAGAAGAAGGGTCAATAAAATTATGGAGCGATCTTTAACAGAAGGAAAGACAAATGGAGAACTTACGAGTGCGGTTCCATGATTCCGGAAAGGATGAAGTCGTGGCCGGAATGATGTCACTGGTGGCAGCTGCAACGAACTATTCCATCCACTCACGGTCGTTATCATCATCCATGCTGGATAGCAGAGCATGGCAGCCACACTTGCTGAAATATATCATTCCCCCGCGAAAAATCTTGGGGGAATAAAGATTCATTAACTGAGCTAGGGTTAGCTCCTCTCCTGTCTCCTGGCACAGATGCCGAAGACAAGCGACTGTCCTCCACACAGAAGGACTTACTTGAGCCAAACATACTTGGTAGTGGATGCAGAACTCCATGATGACAGAGTCAAGCTCACCACTCAAAGAATACACCCCCAAAGTAAAGGGATACATATAGAAATACCTAAAATCCTTCTTGGGTAAGGTTATCCGCTCGGCCAGGTCGGGAGCAATAATGTCTAAATCTTGGCAATAATAGCCTTCCTTCACAACAGGAATACTGGAAGGACGGATGGAAGAAGGGTATATGCTCACGTCCCATTTATGAGGGTTAGCAAAAGGAAATTTCTCTTCGAAATCTTTAGTTGTGACAAGACTCTTTGGGATGATGTAGCTCACCGTAGGAGGAGGAGCATCATCGGCTTTACATTTGTTCTTTGAAGAACTAGGGTTTCTGCTAGAAGAAGTCATTTTTTATTAGAAAAAAAAAATGACACGTGGAATAGAAGACAAAAGATAGTCAAACCCGGAGGCAATGTCCTGCTTGTCAACGTAGAGAATGATACTCATAAAGTCAAAATAAATGCCGACATCCGGTAGCATTCAATGAAGAATATTCTACAACATTAAGTGCATGATCCGTTCACGGCATAATTTTCCATAGTTCTCACTGTTTTCATGATGAGGCTTCATATTAAATTTTTGGTATATCTTTCCTTCCACAGAAAGCCTTCCTACAAAATAGAATTTTCATTCAGCATGATGTGAAATAATCTCACAGATGCAGCTGTCAAACCATTAAGAGGTCCTCACCTTGAGCTGACTCGGAAAATATAGACATCGGAACAAAATCTGTAGACATGTCCATGGAGTAGAGAGTGGGCATGTTTCCAGATGAAGTGCCAGCCAATTCCATGGTAAACTGGTCATCATGCAAATAATGTATGAAAATTGGAAGGAAAAAGATATTGATAGCAAAGAGGACTGGCATGCTAATAAATTACTGCAACTCTCTCCTTGACCTGAAAAGATTGACAGATGAAATGAAAAACGACTGATGTTACATCAAAAGCATTTTTCGCAAGATCTTATAAATAACAGAGCAGAGAATTTGTTGACTATTTTGTAAAACACATGGAAAGTCGGTTGCATCCTAAAGCACATTAAGCCCCAGTCCTTGAAAGAAGAAGAGGAACTATTTACTCTGTCATAAGGATATGGAAAAACGTATATACAATCGATAATATAGAAAAAAACAAAGCTTGCACCATTCGTTCTTCTTTAAAAAAAAATGAGTAGAAGGTTTTTTTATTAAAAAGCTCCTGAACAGGGATCTTATTTCTTACAGCAGAAGGGTTAGGCCCTTGAGGCCCACGGAGAGCGTGATATATCCAAAAAGCAAACATAATCAGAAACTTCCGGACATGAGACTTCTTTGAAGTTCAGGAAACAACATTACATGGAATAGTTTAGATAAGAGATCCATATTAATGGTACTATACAATATGCATGACGATATCAAATAACAAAGCATGTAAAGAGAAACATATTCTCACATAACTACAATTGCATTGCTGTCACAGGCTTTACGCAATCGATCTGATTAGATAGATGTCCCTTCCACATAATTAGGAAGTGATGGATGATCCTCACTTTCTATCCTATCTGAACCAGTTCATAAAAGATTTGAAGATCTAATTTTGACAGTACAAGTATGACTGTGCTGTCAAACAATGCAAAATACTTCTAAAGATGATTAATTGTGGGAAGGGCACGTCCCTTGCATGTTCAACATGTCCCGTGTTTTACAAAGGTGTGGGAGTCTTTCAGAAGAATCTGGTTTCATAAGCATAGCATACAATCAGACATTTTTTAATGAAGTATGGAGATTCACTAAATAGATATCAGACACACCTATCTCTCCAATTCAATTCATCAGTTATTGCCATGTCTTTCTTCTTAAGTACTCTAGGTAATGCTCTTGATATACTAACACAGATAAGCTGTAAAAAAAAAGGAGCAGAGAACCCACCAGGTATAGGAAAGGGGAAGAAAATGAGAGAAATGAATCAGCAATCTATTAGGCTATGTTTACTGAATTCTATATAAACTATGTGTGAGAATGCACGGGAGAAAAATCTATTTATTAACAATGATACAATGAGCCCTATATATATTACATATTCTACTCCTACTACATATGGGACCAGGACATATTCTACTCCTACTACGTATGGGACTAGAATTATTTATACATAACTATCTAACAATATCCGAGACGTTGGGGTAACTTTATTTTAATGCTAGTACATCTTAAAAAACACAAAATCGTTGACTTCCTTGTGTAGGTAACTATTAGACAAATTAATGTCATTTCATTATAAGGCATAAGGAGAATACTGAAAAGGGAATATTAAAAGATGCACAAGGCTCTATATTACAAAAAAAAAAAAAAAAAGCAGACATCCACACAATGACGACCTTTTTTTCCTTTTCTCCAACAATATACAGAAGAAAAGGTAATCTTCCAATTAACATTTTCTACATTATTAAAAAACTGTGAGTTTCACTATTGAAAAAAAAACATGTGAGTTTCTTTTTCTTCAGATTTAACATCGGGATAGAAGCCATTGGACCTCAAAGAGACACAAAATGATGGACCAAAAAAGAAGAAAGTGAAACAACATTACAGTGAAACATTTAGATAATCTACATCCTTTGCTTCCATAATGTTTGCACTTTGAACACATGCCATCAGATAAGTACACTCCTCAGTTGTGACGATTGCACTTTGGGTTTCATCCCAAGCGAAAGGCACATTGTAAAAGTTATGTTTGACTCCATGAAGCTAAGGGGAATGGTAAAGGATAGAAGACACTCAATGATTTACTTCCTTTAAGTGGATTACGGCACTTTTATTCCAATTGTTGGGTAGGGTCGGAAGGAAAGAAATAGAAAGATACTTCTCATCCAGATCAGCTTCAGAGGGGGATGAAAAGAACACGAAAGGGTAATAATCCCTCCACTTTTATTCCACTCTCTACGAATTCCATACCAAGAGAAAAAACCCAGACCTCCTTTTTATTTCCCCTGCTCCCACACAATTCTTTCTACCCAAACAAAACGTGGCAGTTCATACTTTTGAGCTCCAAATAGCTCTCCGACAGACCGACTTGCTGGGACACTTATGCAAAGATAGCAGGATATGAAGGTGTCAAAATAATTCCATCTTGTAGTTATTACGTCTAAACCAAGTGGTATTATCATGTGTTGCACATTACGGGTATAACTGAGCAAACAATTGAATGCAAAATCAATATATCATATTCAGTTTTGAGATGCAAGATAATCCTAGTTTGGCCTCATATCTAAATGTTCTAGATCATGTGCAATCCACTTCCCAGCTCAATTACTGCACTTACTTGTACCAAATGCATTTAAAAGCTATTGGACAAAGTATCACATGAACCACTCAAGAAAACATATACTAGGACAAGTATACGTGAATTCCTCTGTGCAACTTCTCTATCCATGTAAAACTTTATCCGGCGGAAGTTTACGTGAAACCAAGTACCATGCAACCAAAGCTTAACTAGTCCCCTTCCTGGATAGAGAACTGAAAGCATTTTGAGCAACCGAATATCTACACATGTTATGTATACCAGATACACAAATAATCCATCATACATACACAACTACATATAAATCTCAGAGTTTAGTCCCCCTTCAAACCAGATTTTCCAGCCAGAAATCTGCCATAGAAGTTTAATTACTTGAGCTCAATCATATGAAGGAACTGTACTATAGTAGGTTTAAGAAACACACTATCACAACCACAAGCACTGCCCTTCAAATGGATTGTGCATGGTGTACTATGCTAGAGGAGCACTTTATTATTTTAACCAAAGAGATGTGCCAATATAGAATGTTTGACAAATTGTACTTTGGATAGCTATACCGGTAAAAATGAGAAAAAGAATCAGCATTGTAGCAACAAAAAGAAAATTCTCAAATTACTGATTTCAGCAATATCGTCTTGTTTGAATACTATCAGAGAGTGTTATAGAAGTTATAGATCACCAAGAAAAAGAACATAAAAGATAACAGTCTTAATCCATACTTCTGTAGTGAATAGAAAAACCTCTTTGCAATTGCCTCTCGTATATCCAGTTACAATTGTTGACATTGCTTAAACATAGACCATAAAGTAACACTGTCCAAGTAACAGCAATGTATGTTTTTCCATTTAGAGCACACTTTCAGGTCCTTCTCAACTTACTATAAACTTATTTTTGTGGCATCTAGCCTAAGTAGCTAATAGGCCCTCAATTAGTTTCTACTGATGGATTTGTCCACAAACAAAAGTAAACTTATAAGTTCCTGCTTCAATCCATAGCCACTGCCCCCCTCCCCTGGGGGAAATGCTGCTGTTAATTCTATCTTTCCTCTTCACCTTTTTATAGCTTTTCAATTATCATGCATATTAGTTGAGCATTTCACTAAAAAAATGCTTCATCATGCTATACATTTCAATAAATATATTTTAAGCTTTATTCTTCAACATGTGCTTAAAGGAGACATAAGAGGCTGGAGTTTCCTTGATATGGTAGTCTTTTCCTTAAAGAAAAACAAAATTCCTTGCAACTTGTTACCTTTTCGAAAACTAATGGGCAAAATTATTTGAAAAAAATTAAATGGGCAAGATTAGTGGTTGCTGGAGCAGGTTAGGTTTACTGTGTAATTATTTGTTAATTGTTCCACTCACCATTTATTTGAGGAAAATGGAAGTTGTTTATATCCATTTTATTCCAATGAATAGGAAATAAGAATCAGGAAGTTACATAGCAAGAAAATGGAATAGACATATGTGCTCTTACACCCCAACCCCAGAAAAAGGAAAAAAAAAAAAGGGCCTCTTCTAAACAAGAAATCAGTAGGTGATACATCAGGTTCATCTCAAAACTTGCTGAGATATCATATTTTGTTATACAGGCTCCAACTCAACAATGACACTAAGTTCCAGCATATACACCCATGGGGTAAAATGACCACTGCTAGAGAGAGATCGAGTATAAAACTGCAACCAATGTAAACCAGAAAACATAGCTTCTTAATATCACTCCTAAGTTAGATTCCACTTCAACATTGTCTACTAGATGTTTAGCTACCAAAGTTAAAGGAACAAGAAGGTTAAACATCTATGGCCCTTTACTACTAATCAAACAATTCATCACCCGTTATCAATAATCAAACATTATATACCCATGGGACAAAATGCAACTGTGAGTTCCTCTAAGAGATCAAGTATAAAATTGTGACCAAATTTAAACTAGAAACATAGCTTCTCAATATCACACCTAAGTTATATACCACTTTCATATTGTATACTTGATTTATAGCTACTAGTGTTAAAGAAACAAGAAGAATTAAACATTTCATGGCCCTTTATTAATGATCGAACAATTTATCATCCTTTATCAACAACCAAACAATTTGTTACCTCACTACAGTCACATTACTAACCTCTTAGAATCGTAAATTTCCTTCTTTGAATTTACATGATATCTGACACCATTCTATGCTTTTAGGAATTAAAATTAATTAACGAGTTCAGTTTGATATTTGCTGTAACACTAGTTAAATTATTCAAAAAAAAAAATTAATATGTTCTTCCATGGTAATTAACATCTTAAACTCCTCATACAGATGAATGCAAAAACATAATTATCCAAGTCCTCCTGAAATTTCAATTCAAATCAAAAGCTGGAACCTTGACAAAATGTACGTGCTCCCTCGTAGTTAGGCTGTTATTTTGAGCCACTAGTTATAACTACCATTTGACTTCCTTAAAACCAATTGAGAGTAAATGCGAGTCCAGTTGAGAAGTTAATGCAATTTCCTCCTTTCTCTTTCTCTCCCTAAATTTTTCTTTCCTTTTTTCTGATTACACAATAATCTGGTCCATTACAAGAGTTCAATCAAAGAAAAAATTTAATATATGTTCTTCAGAAGCACTCATTTCCTTCCCTGTTTCAGTATATCATTTGATATCAGAGTCTGTTGATTATGGGAGAGTAATCGGAATCAATGGTAGAAAACACCCGCTATAGGGAACTCTAGCGAGAAAATTTGATGGCAATACAAGGTTGATGGATGAACTTTGAAGGATGACTGACGAGAGACATGCTTTATCTCTAGGAGATAAGAGAAGTACTGATTCCCCAGTTCACATAGATAAGCCCACTGATGGATGCGCAGCCTTCTAATGTTAGTGATAACACTCCCACCAGGAGTCATAGCATTGTGGTCCCACCCTTTGATGGCATTTGGTTAAGCAAGTGGCTCTATCATATTGAGTAGCTTTTTTTTGGCGACACTATTGCACTGGATACTTGTTACCTCCTACCAACACAGATACGGGTAACTCTCCACCACCAAGGCTTAGGCAATCATAGTAAGTAGCTATTCTAGGTTAATTAAATACGTACTTAGTATGGGTAAAGTACAAGTATATGTCTATCTGGTATGGGTTTTATGCTAATCTTTAGTCTATTTGAAGAATGCCCACAGAGTATCCACACCCATCGCAAATCAAACCCCTCCCCCGGGACCAGAAAAATGTGAGACAAGCAAACTAAGCATTCTTCTAAAAGCTTCATACATCTAAAACCAACACATTCAATCAAAGAATCGTAGAAAACAATATAAACCCTACAAGCCGCAGTTAACTGCTCATCAGAAGACCAAAAAGAAAAACTCATATAACACCCCCTTGGAGTGTGGCCCTTCCCGGACCTTGCCTGATTGCGGTATGTTTGTACACCGGGGCTGCCCTTTTATACATACAACCGACATTGATAAAGAGTCCGCAATGGAAAAAATAACGACAAATTAAATATATTTTTTACAAAAGAAGCAAAACAGAGGAGACTAAAAAACATAAACTTCAATATTAATTTGCACGTGTAAGTAGGTACCTGAGTAGCATCATTGGAGAGGAGAGGATCAACGGCGACGACGACTTTAGCGACAGGCGCAGGAGAAACAAAGGAAGAGAGGCCGTCATTGTCAATGTTAAGAGGAGTTGAAGAAGAATGTAGATGTTGCTGGAAGAATGTGGAGACAAGGGTAGGGCATTTCATCAGCCACACATTTCTGTCCGGTTTATTCATCTCCAAATGGCTGTTCATCGTCACGGCTGCGCTCTTGAGGTTGCTTCCGCTGATTTTCTCCGCCATTTGCGATTGTCGTGGTGCTACGCTATACGGAAGTTGGGGTTTTCGGATTTTGTGAGCATTTAAAGGAATCCTCTGTAACGAACCATGCAAGATTTTTCCAAATTAAAAATAATAATAATGCTTATATGGGAAAATAACGCGAAGGGAAAAAAATTAAAAGGAAAAGATTCTGGCGGAAAAACATTTATAATATCGAATTTTTTCTTTGTTATAAATATATTATATTGTGCATGTACGTACTCCGTTGTAAATAAGTTTCCTCAAGAATCTTATCCATATTAGATGTCGTCGTAAATATATTTATCTATTTAGTACTTTATTAGAAATAAGCCTCCTCAAGAAGTATATCATTTCGGTACTCCATTGTGGATAAATATTACTCCCTGTAGAAGATTATCTATAGCTGGTATAATAACAATTTACAAGAGGCTTACACAACAGCTTGCAGTAGAAGTTTACAAGCATCTTATACAGCACCTTGCAGTAGCAACTTATATAACAGCTAGCAGTAGCAGTTTACACAACAACTTCATTTTTTCTATATATACAGGAGATTTCAGTTCATTATGTACATCTGTTTGAAGTTGAATAATATATCAATCTCTCTCTATACTTGTCTTTGATTTATTTATCTTACTGTTTTTATTTTATAACACGTTATCAGCACAAGACTCTGCCATTTTGAGTACTTACTTCGAATTTAATTTCTATTTCAGTATTCATCTTCGATGTAAGGCGATGCTCTTGCGTCCGTGGTTAGATCTTGTTCATTATGAATCATAAGGCATATTATATCCTTGAGGTGGTGAGCTTTCCTTATTGATAGTAGTGATGTAGATATCACTTACGTCTCGATTGGCCAAATTTGTGTAAAGTAATTTGAGCATTTTTCTTATATTTGGTTTAATATCTTTATCATCACTTGCTTGGTTATGTATTACGTATACAGTACCTATTTTCGTATTTGTTTTCATCCTAATTATCTTAATAAAGGATTACAAAGTGGATAACATTGTTAGATCAACTTAAACTCCAGCAGAGTTTACAAGAAATATACAACCACCAGAAGTGCCTATGTCTCGTATATATCATTGTAACTAAATTTTGTAAGTTAGAGAAAAAATTTCTATATTACATGCATACCTCGATTTGCTCCTAAAATAGCAACTATATTAAAAGAGGTTAGACATCATCACAATTTAATGTGGTTATTGCACATTCAGATAATTATGTTGCATCTCGTGAAGGAAGAGAACTTTTGATAATATTAATCTATTCCTTGAAGTGAATGTGACAATATTAATAAAGCTTGTAAATATGAACGCACTCTTGGTTGTGAAGATGTCACAATTTACCTCCAAAGAGGTAGTACAATTGAGAGAATATATACTCAATATTTTGTATTTCAAATTTGCCCATGAAGTAGTAAGCAATTGAAACATCCTCATGAAGTAGGGAAATATTATGAAACAATGTCTTTATGTGCTTAAATAAAATAATGAGCTATTCAAAGTTATTTTTGAAGCACGTTTTCATTCCTTGAAGTGAATGAAGAAATGCCGCAAGTCACCTCCTAAAGAGGTAGAATAACAAAGGATATAAATATATTTTTGTGGCATAAACATCATTGCCGCACGTACTTGTTATACATCAAACATTTTGGATAATTTTATTAAGTATCCTTCTATGGCAAAAGAATTCTTGTAGAATGCTTTATATTATAACCACATTGATATATTATGGTTAGTTGTTATTGATTTTCTCAAAGAAAATAACAATTCATGTATCTTTCCTTGAAGGATGTAACAACTATGTAGAAATATTGAAATTCTTAATTTTCTTCATTTATGAATTTAATAAGATCTTTATATTGTTTATTTGATTATGATTTTCTCTTATGATATCAAAAGTGTCTGAGCAACATTTGATAGTAAAAAAATATATCAAAAACTCCTAAAGAGCTAACTGTTTGTCTAGAAGATACATGACACCAATATTGCCCGAATAATATTAGATTGTGGATAATAAATAAAGGCTCTCGAAGAGCTTATATACAAATATGTAATTTATATTATATGATTATGGTCAAAATATATGTTGTAGTAAACCCGAAGTTTACTAATACAAATGGCTATCATATTAAGACTACAAATGATTGAAAGATTGAAAATCTTAATGTTTTCACAATCATAGGGGGTAAAATAATATGTATGTGAGAAGTTACCCACCTTATTCTTAGATATGTACTACATTACGTGTCACACTAAATTCGAAGTTTACTAATGCAAAAACAGTCGCAGTAAACCAGAAGTTTTACTGAGGCAAAAGTAGCTATTGCAAACCAGAAATTTACTGATACAAAAGTAGCCACAGTAAACCAGAACTTTACTGATGCAAATTTTTATGTCACAAAAAATCAGAAGTTTACTCAAAGATAGCACATGTCATGATAAACTTGAAGTTTTCAAGTGCAAATAAGGTATTAGCCAGTATAACCGATATTGCCATCTGATTTAAGTATGATGAACTAATTGAGAATTATGATATGCATATATTGAAGAATTAGAAGATTCTTCAAAAATTCTCATGTGTTGCTTGTTTTCATAATAAATTGATTATACCAGCTAAAGTTGGGACTAAGACCCTTGAATTCTAGAATATATAAAAGGTGAATATGAGCCCATTCACCTATCATGTGAACTACTTATAGATGCATATATTAGATGGTTACATGTGTATTTATTATCAACATAGAGTTTGGCATTTAAAATTGCTTTTTTCAATTAAGAGCATAATTTCCAGATTATGAAGTCAAGACATATCATCTTGATAATGCTGGTCTATATCCAAATTAATTTAGCATTGAATACCTTCTATTATTATCTAACCTATTGCTTATAAGAACAAAGCTTCCTGTGTTGGTCTATAATTTTCTAAATTGCATACAACAAAACTTTTATGCATCAGACCAACAAGATATGATAAGTCCTCCATCACAATTGGTTTAGGATCAGAAATCAAGTATTTTTACTATCTCATAACTTTAGATATGTGGTATATGATTAGTTTCTCTATTACAATGCACAAAGATAGGTTTTCCAAAGAAGATTGGGGATATATGTTAGTTTTTCTAACATTTGGGGATGGAATAAGCAGCTGGAAAATATGCTATATGAATCGAATTATCACTAATATGATCCTCATTCAAAAGGTAATTCAAGTCAAATGCCAGAAGCATTTTCTCATCCAAAATTAAATATCATATTTCAGCTGCAAATGCTCCTAGTAAAGTTAAAGTCCGTGAAGGATAGAGTTTACTGCATGCATAAAACGTAGTAGATCGATCGGTTCTAAATGTAACAATCCTTGACAAAAGATATGAGCAAATGATCATAATAAGGAGGAAATGAGCTCTAGAAGAGCATAATATTTCATGAAACTACAGAAGAAGTTCAGGTACCTGAAAATAAAGAAAGTAATGAGATCTCAACAAGTTATATCGCTTGGAACCGATACAAAATGATCGTCGATGATATATTTGATACAATATAGTTCACAATATTGTAAAAGATTGTGAGGATCAAACTTGTAGTCTAGACACCTGAAGAGGTCATGCCATTTAAATGCAAGTCATAACCTATATGACTCATTTGATTAAATCTACATGAAAATTCTTGAAGAATTTAAAATTCTTGAAGCATATTCAAATCTCGGGAAAGGTATTCAATCATATTACAAAAATCTGTGTACGATTTAAAGCAATTTGGGCGCATGTGGTATAATCGTCTCAGTGAATATTTGTTGAAAGAGAGTTACATAAATGATGTTATTTGTCCATATATTTTTATAAAGAAAATGACATCAGAATTTATTATACTTGTTGTTTATGTTTATGACATAATTTTTTTTGGTACTCTAGAAGAGCTCCAGAGGCAATTGAATATCTTAAGAAAGAATTTAAGATGAAAGATCTTGGAAAGACAAAATTTTGTTTTGGTCTGCAAATTGAATATTTAGTAGACGGGATCTTTATCCATCAATCTGCCTATACATAAAGGGTCTTAAAACACTTTTATATGGACAAAGTGCACCCATTAAGTACATCAATGGTTGTTCGATCACTTAAAGTGAATACGGTTCCGTTTCGACCTCCAAAAGAGGATGAGGAACTCATTGGTCCTGAAATACCCTATCTCAGTGCAATTGGTGCAATTATGCATCTTGCTAATGCTACAAGGCCTGATATAGTATTTTCTGTTAATTTACTAGCAAGATATATCTCTTCTTCTACACGGAGACATAGAAACGGGATTATGCATATATTTCAATAATTAAAGGGAACTCTTGATATGGGTTATTTTATGCTAACCAAGGTAGTGCAAATCTTATTGGTTATGCAGATGCATGTTATTTATCTGATCCCCATAAAGCTCGATCTCAAATCGGGTACGTATTTACATGTGGAGGTACTGTCATATCATGGCATTCCATAAAGTAATCTATTGTTGTTATTTTTTCAAATCATGCTGAGATAATAGCTATTAATGAAGAAAGTAGGGAATGTGTATGGTTGAGATCAATGATTCATTTTATTCGAGAAAAATGTGGTTTGGAATGTGATAAAAGACCCACAATTTTATACAAAGATAATGTTGCATGCATAACCTAATTAAAGGAAGGATTCATAAAAGAAGATAGAACAAAACACATTTTACCGAAGTTATTATTCACACATGATCTCCAAAAGAATGGTAATATCAATGTGTAACAAATCCGTTCAAGTGACAATCAACAGATTTATTCACTAAATCTTTATCAACTTCACCTTTTGAGAAGATGGTATACAAGATTGGAATGTGGANATGTCCATTCCCCATTTCATGAATGGCCATGGGGATAGGACCGAGTGAAGTTGCTCTCCGGGTTGATGGATCATTGGCGCAAACCTTTGACATTTATCACATTTGCGAACAAATTCTTTCGCATCTTTGCCCATATCGATCCAATAATACCCCGCTCTGATCACTTTCCGAACTAATGTGTCAGCACCGGAGTGATTGCCATAAG